ACCGTCCATACCTGATTGATCTGGGCCGTCCGTGCGCGTGAATCTGGGCCGTCCGTGCGCACGTTTGATCTGGGCCGTCTGTGCGCGCGGGAACGGATCTGGCCCGTCCGATCGCGCGCACGCGAATCGCCCCCGTGGCCCGTCCCCTGGTCAGCGTGTCCTTGCCACGCGGCGCGTTCTGGTTGGTCGGGGCTGCTGACTGGGCCGCTGACGTGACTGCTGACGTGGCACAACTTTTCTAAATTACGTTTTGACCCCCTGATTTCCGATTTTCTTTTCAAAAATACCCCCAGAATCCAAATTTTCACCTTTTTTTTCCAAAATCAATTTCAATTAAATCCAAATAATATTTTTACCCAATTTTATCATTATAATTATTTTTATTTTCATTTAATTAAATTAAATTAAATTAAATAAAAATCCAAATAAATAAATAAATAAATAAAATATTTATTTTCATTTGGGTGTTACAATGTCCGTGGATAAAACAGGAAGCAACACGCTGAAAAGATTGTTCCGAAGACGAGGAATGAGTTGTCGGTAGTAATAATGAAGCATGAATTTTATCATTGACGAGCCGCAGCTTCAGCACAGGCAACGAGTTGTAGAACCAGTTTGATTTTATCTCCATAGTTAGAATTTACCTTCTTCAATGAATTCAATTTCGTAGATAACCATGTTCAACGCTGCTTCTTCTTCCATGGCTTCAATGGCTAAATATCTTCGTGCTTGTAAATAATACTTGCTTTTCGAGTACTGTAGAACGAACAGACGATTTGAATTTACAGTTTTATACTTTTTTTAAGTAAAAATTAGTTGCTTATTTTTTAAAATGAAAATCTAAAACAGTTTAGTGCTGTTTTAAATACATTTTTTTCAACAGTATCGAACACCATTACAGTAGAAAATTTGAATGAAAATTATAAAACTTATTTTTATTTAAAATTTTAAAATGAGATACTTACAATTTAAAACTTTATTTCCATTACAAAGAAGATTATATCCAATCAAACATCTCCTAAAACTTGATGAAAAAACCAATATGAAAATATGTGAAATTTTGTATATAAATAAGAAGCCACGCATACAATAGTTTTTATATTAGCAACAATAGACAAATATATTATACATACAACGCCATCATGTAGCTCTTTAAAGTACACCACCAACTGATAGAAATCATGACTCTGCACATATGTAGATCACCAATGATTCTCATCTAAGCTCTTCAGAAATTTAACTACGAGAAAGGCCAGATTTACCAGCTGTCTCCTCTTCTTCTGAATGAAGTTATATAGGAGCTTCGCAATTCCACCATTAGCAGGAGCCCTGGTACTCGGTAACCAAAATGGACTTTTGCCATGCCATAAAGTTCTTGATCAACAATACAAAACCCCAGATAAGGGTGCAAGCAGCAACGAATGCAGAAAAAGATCCATGTGCGTTTCACTTCCTAAAGCACAAATAATCTTTTGTTTCCACGTGTCAATTGAATTGAAGACCCTTCAACTGTACAGATACTGTATCACTGCGATGATGGTTTGGAAAGGAATCATGCAAGAAATGAGGACGGCTTCACTGCTAGCAGCTTTCG